TTAGAATTGTTTTATTTGGTTTGTTAATAGTGTAGTTAATTTGTTCACTGTTAGAGTTAGATGAATAAATTGTTACTTGTTGATTGTAAAGTGAGTATCAGGGATTTATTTTATTTAACCACTAGAGGTTGCAGAAAGGCAGATTACACAACTTTTCACACTCCTTTTACAGATTAGAGGGCGCAGTGTTCCTCTTTGGGTGTTTTAATTTTAGTTCTTGGTGGGGTGGGAGGGGGGTCAGAATAATAGGGTTGTAATAGTAGGGGATTTTAACTATCCAAACATAGACTGGAACTCCCTGTTGGGAGTTTTCTATAGGCCTCCGAAAAGTTCCAGAGATGTAGAGGAAAAGATTGCAAAGATGATTCTGGATAGGAGCGAAAGTAACAGGGTAGTTGTTATGGGGGACTTTAACTTTCCAAATATTGACTGGAAACAGATGGGCCAGGTTTTGTCCAATGTGTGCAGGAGGGTTTCCTGACACAGTATGTAGATTGGCAAACAAGAGGTGAGGCCACATTGGATTTGGTACTGGGTAATGAACCAGGCCAGGTGTTAGATTTGGAGGTAGGTGAGCACTTTGGTGATAGTGACTACAATTCGGTTACGTTTACTTTAGCGATGGAAAGGGATCGGTATATAACGCAGGGCAAGAGTTATAGCTGGGGGAAAGGCAATTATGAGGCGATGAGGCAAGATTTAGGATGCATAGGATGGAGAAGGAAACTGCAGGGGCTGGGCACAATTGAAATGTGGAGCTTGTTCAAGGAACAGCTACTGCGTGTCCTTGATAAGTATGTACCTGTCAGGCAGGGAGGAAGTGGTCGAGCGAGGGAACCGTGGTTTACTAAAGAAGTTGAATCTCTTGTCAAGAGGAAGAAGGAGGCTTATGTAGAGATGAGGCGTGAAGGCTCAGTTAGGGCACTTGAGAGTCACAAGTTAGCCAGGAAGGACCTAAAGAGAGAGCCAAGAAGAGCCAGGAGGGGACATGAGAAGTCTTTAGCAGGTAGGATCAAGGAAAACCCGAAAGCTTTCTATAGGTATGTCAGGAATAAAAGAATGACTACAGTAAGATTGGGGCCAGTCAAGGACAGTAGTGGGAAGTTGTGCGTGGAGTCCAAAGAGATAGGAGAGGTGCTAAATGAATATTTTTCATCAGTATTCACACAGGAAAAAGACAATGTAGTCGAGGAGAATACTGAGATACAGTCTATTAGACTAGACGGGATTGAGGTTCATAAGGAGGAGGTGTTAGCAATTCTGGAAGGTGTGAAAATAGATAAGTCCCCTGGGCCGGATGGGATTTATCCTAGGATTCTCTGGGAAGCTATAGAGGAGATTGCAGAGCCTTTGGCTTTGATCTTTAAGTTGTCATTGTCTTCAGGAATAGTGCCAGAAGACTAGAGACTAGCAAATGTTGTCCCCTTGTTCAAGAAGGGGAGTAGAGACAACCCTGGTAATTGTAGACCAGTGAGCCTTACTTCGGTTGTGGGTAAAGTGTTGGAAAGGATTATAAGAGATAGGATTTATAATCATCTAGAAAGGAATAATTTGATTAGGGATAGTCAACACGGTTTTGTGAAGGGTAGGTCGTGCCTCACAAACCTTATTGAGTTCTTTGAGAAGGTGACCAAACAGGTGGATGAGGGTAAAGCGGTTGATGTGGTGTATTTGGATTTCAGTAAAGCGTTTGATAAGGTTCCCCATGGTAGGCTATTGCAGAAAATACAGAGGCATGGGATTGAGGGTGATTTAGCGGTTTGGATCAGAAATTGGCTAGCTGTAAGAAGACAGAGGGTGATGGTTGATGGGAAATGTTCATCCTGGAGTTCAGTTACTAGTGGTGTACCTCAAGGATCTGTTTTGGGGCCACTGCTGTTTGTCATTTTTATAAATGACCTGGATGAGGGCGTAGAAGGATGGGTTAGTAAATTTGCGGATGACATCAAAGTTGGTGGAGTTGTGGATAGTGCGGAAGGATGTTGCAGGTTACAGAGGGACATAGATAAGCTGCAGAGCTGGGCTGAGAGGTGGCAAATGGAGTTTAATGCGGAAAAGTGTGAGGTGATTCACTTTGGAAGGTGTAACAGGAATACAGAGTACTGGGCTAATGGTAAGATTCTTGGTAGTGTGGATGAGCAGAAAGATCTCGGTGTCCATGTGCATAGATCACTGAAAGCTGCCACCCAGGTTGTTAGCGTTGTTAAGAAGGCGTACAGAATGTTAGGTTTTATTGGTGGAGGGATTGAGTTTCGGAGCCATGAGGTCATGTTGCAACTGTACAAAACTCTGGTGCGGCCGCACTTGGAGTATTGCGTACAGTTCTGGTCACCGCATTATAGGAAGGATGTGGAAGCATTGGAAAGGGTGCAGAGGAGATTTACCAGGATGTTGCCTGGTATGGAGGGAAGGTCTTATGAGGAAAGGCTGAGGGTCTTGTGGCTGTTTTCGTTAGAGAGAAGAAGGTTAAGAGGTGACTTGATAGAGACATACAAGATGATCAGAGGATTAGATAGGGTGGACAGTGGGAGCCTTTTTCCTTGGATGGTGATGGCTAGCACGAGGGGACATAGCTTTAAATTGAGGGGTGATAGATATAGGACAGATGTCAGAGGTAGGTTCTTTACTCAGAGAGTAGTAAGGGCGTGGAATGCCCTGCCTGCAAAAATAGTAGACTCGCCCACTTTAAGGGCATTTAAATGGTCATTAGATAAACATATGGATGATAATGGAATAGTTTAGGTTAGATGGGCTTCAGATTGGTTTCACAGGTCGGCGCAACATCGAGGGCCGAAGGGCCTGTACTGCGCCGTAATGTTCTATGTTCTATGTTCTATGTTCTAAAGTGTTAAGGGCTTAGATGGGGAGGAATTTGTTCAGTATGTTTAAGAAAATCTTCTCAGTCAATATGTAAATGGCCCTACTAGAGAAGGGGCAAAACTTAACCTCCTCTTGAGAAATAAGGCAGGGGAAATGGCTGAAGGGTTAGTGTGTGGGAGCACTTTGGGACCAGTGACCAACTGGTTATTGTGCCTGGCCTGCCATGTTCCTCCAGCTCCACACTGTATTATCTCTGACTCTAGCATCTGCAGTTCTTGCTGTCTCTGATGGAAAAGGATAGGCTTGGGCCACAAATTAAAGTTCTAAATTGGGACACGGCCAATTTTGGTGGTATTGGACAGGACCTTTCAAAGATTGGTTAGCAGAAGCTATTTGCAGGTAAAGGGATGTATGGCAAGTGGGAGGCTTTCAAAAGCTGGGTAATGAAAGTTTGGGGCCAGCATGTTCCTGTTAGTGTGAAGGGCAAGGCTGGCAGGAGTAGAGAACACTGGATGACTAGAGATATTGAGGCATATGTCAGTATAGACAGTTGGGATCAAGTGAATCCCTCAAGGAGTATAGACAGTGTAGGAGTACACTTCAGAGGGAAATCAGGAGGGCAAAAAGGGGACATGAGATAGCTTTGGCAGATAGACTAAAGGAGAATCCAAAGAGATTCTGCAAATATATTAAGGGCAAAAGAGTAACAAGGAAGAAAATAGGGCCCCTGAATGTCAAGTTAACAACCAAGTATTATAGAATAGCCCAGCAAAAGAGGAACTGGCCCTTTTGCAGAGTAATCCAGTTAATTTCATGATCTCCATAATCCCTGAAATTCTTTTGTCTTCACATATTTATCCATTTCCCTTTTGAAGACTATTAAATCTGATGAAGGGTCTAGGCCCGAAACGTCAGCCTCTCTGCTCCTATGATGCTGCTTGGCCTGCTGTGTTCATCCAGCCCTGCACCTTGTTGTCTCAAATCATCACCCTGTCTGGACTGTACGTTCCAAATGCTTGCTTTCTCAATATCTGTAACAATGATAATAATTCAGAGGAACAGGAATAGACCATGGAACCCTATGAGCCTGTTTTGCTGTTTAATTAGATCATGAACAATCTGGAACCTAAATTCATATACTGATCTTCTACCCATATCTCTTAATTCATTTGGTTATCAAAAATTTATCAATATCAAATTTAAAATTTAGAATTGATCCAGCATTAATAGCTGCTTGAGGGAGTAATTTCCAAATTTCTATCTTTTATAAGTAGAACTGTTTCCAAATTTCACTCCTGATGAGTCCAGCTCTAGTGTTTCGTCTATGCTTCCAGTCTTAAATTTTACAACAAGTGGAAACGGTGTAGATAACATGCAATTATCTTGAAAACATTGATCAAATCACCGCTCAACTTCTTTAAATTCCAGGAAACATAACCTTAACCTTTCTTTGTAATTTAATTGTTGGAATGCAGGTACCAGTTTGATAAATCTACATTGCATCCCTTCAAGGCTACTATATCTTTCCAAACATATAATGCTTAATCTCCCCTGTTCACAGTAAAAGAAAACCAGCCTATTCATTTAAATGTTATCCATTGCATGTTATCTGGAGAGGAACAACAATACTTGCTTTGTTGCTGCATATCTGCGTGTGCATGTGCCTTATAGGGAATATTAATAGTGCCCAGAACTACTTGCAGCACTTCATGTGTCGTCTAACCAGAGCTTGTATAGCTGTAGCATAAATTGTATCCCCTTGTATTCTCGTCATCTTGCTATAAAATGTAGTATTCTGTACCTGCACCTGGTGTGTAACCGTAAGTAATTTATCTCAAAAAAACAAGTGCACAAACTTCAGCATTATTGGGTACACAGGATATGGCCCAAGGAAGAACTAAATTTTTGGCAAAGATGTAGGTCCAGAACCTTGATATTTTAGAACGTGTTAGCTAGTGAGAGAGGGTGAATTGTTTTGTTTTCGAGTGACATGATTTTTAAAATCTCGACTGCTGTCAATTGTTTAGAATACCATGGATTGCCTTAACCACTGTGGTGGGGATGGTCACTGTTGTCAAGCTGTGAGCAGACTTTTCAGAACAGATTATTGAATGTGAATTGGATTGACGCCTGTTTAGTGAGATGGAAACACTTAATAAAAACATTTCTTTGTTTTTTAGCTTTGTGGTTGTGGAGCCTGAAGGAAGAGTTGTGTAATTGGAATAACCATGAAATAACCCCCCTTGGCAAAGGTATGCACTTTCCTGAATGACCTCTTCAATTGTTCTTGCATGTATTAACACCTAATTATCAATTGAAAAATAAATATAAATGAGTTGAGATTAGATCTCACCTGGAGTCAAATGTAGGTCAGACCAGGTAAGGACAGTAGTTTCCTTAGATCTCACCTCGATGGAAGCAATAACCTTGTGGTATATTTGTTGGACTGTCAATCCAGAGATCCAAATTATGCTGTGGGGATCTGAGTTCAAATCCCGTCACGACCAAGAAAAAAGGTCTGTTTCATTAATGTCCTTCAAAGAAGGAAACTGCCATCCTTACCTGGTCTGGCCTACATGTGACTTCAGACCCACAGCAATGTGGTTGACACTTAACTGCTCTCTGGGCAATTAGGTATAGGCAATAAATGTTGGCTCAGCCAGTAACGCCCGTCATCTGTGAGAATCTTCGCACATAGTGAGATTCTCATATATCTATAAAAACATGAAGTGGAAAATCAAATGTTTTCTCCTTCAATGTCACGAATCTTATTTTTCATTTTGAAGTATTTTCCAACTTTCTCATCTTTGTTACAGTCATTCAGAGGTGGGAAAATTTTGCCATAGCTATATTTTCACCTGGTACGTTGAACTTGATCGATGAACAAAAACAACATCTTGCATTTGTATGTAGCATCTGTGATGGACAACCTCACAGTGGGAGAACTGGGTTTGAATTCGTGGAACGTTGTCACTGGGGCTGGGAAGGAGGGAGCTGTTCAAATGGGATGGATTTCATCTGAAATATGCTAGGACTAGAGTCCTGTCGAATCACATAACCAGAGCTGTAGGTGGGGTATGTGGTGGGGTGGGATTAGAAAATCAATGGAAAAGGAGAAGGTAGGATTGCAGGTTAGTGATGGGACTTAATTGTCACCTAAAATAAAAGGAAGGGACAGAATGTGTGATTGTCATATTGCACAAAGGAACCATAAAAGTATTGGGAATTTTGTAATATAACAAATTTCAAAGCTTTGAATCTTAATGCTCAAAACATTCGGAATAAGATAGATAAACTGACAGCACAAACCCAGGTTAGCTAATATTATCTCCTATCCATTATGGAAACATGGTTACAAGGAGATCAAAACTGGGAGTTTAACAGGGATATTTGATCTTTCAGGGAGACAGTAGGGATGGAGAAGATTTTGGGGTCGTATTGTTAGTAAGTATGAGGACAGTTGTGAGAGATGATCAACATTCGAATGATGTTTATTTGAATGGAGATAGAAAAACAGCAAAGGAAAGAAGACTTTCCTCGGAGTAGCGTAGTGGTAGAGTAGTCACTCCATAGGAAAGGCTAGAAACCATGATTGGGTGAATCAAATTGGAAAGGGTAGCTATGACAATAAATTCATAGAGTGCATTAGGGTTGATTTCCTAGAGTGTTATGGTACTAACCAGAGAGCGAGCTATCTTGGATCTGGCAATGAGTCAGGTTTAATAAATAATCTCAGAGTAAAAGGTTCCAGAGGAAGTAGTGATCATAGCATGACAGAATTTAATATTGAGTTTGAGAGTTGGAAACTTGGGTTGGAAACAACGAGGTTTAACTTAAAGGAAATTACAATGGAATGACGAGAGAGTTAGCTAAAGAATTGGGTGGATAGATTCACAGGAATGACTGTGAACAAGCAGTGGCAAACATTTAAGGAGGTAAATTCATGATTCACGCAAAATATAACACCTTGGATCCTTCTGCTCCCTGGCTAAACCCTAGCCCCTGGTCCTGAACCCCTCTCACCAGCCTCTCAGCCACCGCCTCTGTCTCTCTGGTGACAGAACCCATCAAGATGACACAATATCTCCACCCTGAATGCCATTCACACAGCAAACCACACCTTGTTACTGTCCTGCAACTGTCACCAGATCCAAGATAAAACCCCATCTATTCCAGCACCAAAATAGTAAATAAGCGGTGGCACCCATTCATGCGGTCATTCATGATTCAGGAAAAAAATATGTCCCAGTCAGGAGGAAAGATTATAAGAGGGGGATAAACTAACCATGGCTAACCAAGGAAGTTTAGGAGAGAATTAAGTTGAAAGAAAAAAGCATACAGGGAGGCTAACATCAGTGATAGACCTGAAGACAGGGATAAATTCAGAATTCAGCAAAGGAGGACTAAAACATAATAAAGAGACAGAACGTAAACTAAGAGGGTAAACTAGTGAGGCATATAAAAATTGACAAGAGCTTCTTCAAATACTTAAAAAGGAAGAGAGAGGTCAAAGTGAACATAGGCCACTTTAAGAATGAATCTGGGGAGTAGTTACATGGAAAAAGGAAATGGCAGAGGAGTGAAGCAAATATTTTGCATTGGTTTGCATGGTGAAAGGTACTTCAAACATTCCATTAATACTAAAGAATACTGGGAGGAATTAATTACTATCACGAGAGATGTAATATGAGACAAACTAGTGGGACTGAAGGAAGTCAAGTTCCTTGGCCCTACCCAGTGGCTTGCATCCTAAAATCCTAAAAGAGATAGCTACAGAGAGTGTGAATGCATTAGTTGTAATCTTGCAAAAGGTCTTGGATTCTGGAGACATACCAGAGGATTGGAAAACTGTTAATGTGACTCCCCTACTCAAAAAGGGCGTGAAATGAATTATTAAGGAAGTAATAGCAGAAGGTTTGGAAAATCATATTCTAGTCAAGCAGGATCAGTATGGCTTCATGAAAGGGAAATCATGTCTGACTAGGAAATCTCAACCAGAGTGGATAGAGAGGAACCAGTAGATGTATTGTATTTGGACTTCCGGAAGGCATTTGACAAAGTACCTCACAAAAGGTTAAGTCATAAATTAGGAGCGTGTGGTGTTGGAGGTTGTTTGTGGGCAGGAAACATTGAGTGGGAATAAGGGTTTTCTTTTTCAGGTTGGCAACCTATGACCATTGGTGTTCCACAGTGATCAGTGCTGGGCCTGCAGCTATTTCCAATAGATATTAGTGACTTGGAGGAAGGAAACGAATGTACTGCAGCCAAATTTGCAAACAACACAAAAAAAGAAGGGAAAGCACATTGTGAGAGAGATACAAACAGTTTACAGTGATATTATTAGATTAAGTAAGTAGGCAAAAGTTGGCAAATGGAGCATAATGTGGGAAATGTGAAGTTGTTTGTTTGGAAGGGAGAACAAAAGGATAGAGCCTTATTTAAATGAAGGAAAGCAATAGCACAAATGGACTTGGGAGTACATGTGCATGAAACACAGAAAGTTAGTACACAGGTGCAGCAGGTAATCAAGAAGGCTATTGGAATCAAAAACAGAAATTGCTGGAAAAGCTCACAGGTCTGACAGCATCTGTGAAGAGAAATCAGAGTTAACGTTTTGGGTCCGGTGACCCTTCCTTAGAACCCATACCCAAAATATTAACTCTGATTTCTCTTCACAGATGCCGCCAGATCTTCTGAGCTTTTCCAGCAACTTATGTTTTTGTTTCTGATTTACAACATCTGCAGTTCTTTCAGTTTTTATTAAGGCTAATGGAATGTTGGCCCTTATTTCAAGGGAGTTTGAGTATAAGGGAAGGAAAGTCATAGAGTTGTACAGCATGGAAACAGACGCTTTGGTCCAAATGCCGACCAGTTATCTTAAACTGATCTAATCACATTTGCCAGCATCCCTCTAAATCCTTCCTATTCATGCACTCATCCAGATGGCTTTTAAATGTCATAATTGTACTCGCCTCCACCACCTCCTATGGCAGCTCGTTCCGTACACGCACCACCCTTTGCATGAAAATGTTGCCCCTCAGGTCCCTGTTAAATCTTTCCTCTGTCACCCTGAACCTATACCCTTTAGATTTGGACTCCCCTACTCTGGGGTAAAGACCATGACTATTCACCCAATCCATGCCCCTCATGATTTTACATAGAACATAGAACAGTACAGCACAGCACAGTACAGGCCCGTCGGCCCACAATGTTGTGCCGACCTATTATCCTACTAAGATCAATATCTTACAAATTTACAAATCTCTATAAGGTCACATACCTCAGCCTCTGACACTCCAGGGAGAAAAGCCCAGCCTATTCAGCCTCTCCCTATAGCTCAAACCTCCAATCATGGCAACGCCCTTGTAAATCTTTTAACAGCATCCTTCCTATTGCCGGGAGACCAGAATTGAATGCAGTATTCTGAAAGTGGCCTCACCAATATTCAGTACAGCCGCAACATGATGTCCCAGCTCCTATACTCAAAGCAGAAGCCAGTGAAGTCAAGCGTGCCGAACAGCTTCTTCACCACCCTGTCTACCTGCGCTTCTACTTGTGAGGAACTATATCCTGGCACCGTTAGGTCTCTTTGTTTGGAAACACTCCTCAGGACCCTATCACTAAGTGTATAAGTCCTGCCCTGATTTGCCTTAACAAAATACAGCACCTCACTTTTATCTAAATTAAATTCCATCTACCATTCCTTGGCCCATTGGTCCAATATGATCAAGGTCCTGTTAAAGTTTGAGATAATCTTCTTCACTGTCCACTACACCTGTAACATTACTAGCCATACCTCCTATATTCACACCAAAATCATTTATATAAATGATGAAAAGCAGTGGACCCAGACAGATTCTTGTGGCACACCACTGGTCACCGGCCTCCAGTCTGAAAAGCAACTCTCCACCACCACCCTCTGTCTCCTGTCTTCGAGCCAATTTTATATCCAATTGGCTAGCTCACACTGGATTCCACGTGATCTAACTTTGCTGATCAGTCAACCATGTGGAACCTTAATGAACGCCTTGCTGAAGTCCGTACTGTCAACGTCTGCTGCTCTGCCTTCATCAATCTTCTTTGTCGCTTCTTCAGAAAACTCAATAAAGTTAGTGAGACACAATTTCCCACACACAAAGCTATGTTGATGCTCCCTAATCAGTCCTTGCCTTTCCAAATACATGTAAATGTTGTCCATCACAATCTCCTCCAACAACTTACCCACAACTGACGTAAAGCTCACCAGTCTATA